CTGTACCCGTTCAGGGCTGGCTGCTCCCCAGAGTGGGGAAGGGTGGGTGCTGCTCCTGGGGCTGCCTGAGCAGCCCCACAGTCACTGCCTGCTGGGGAAGACCACAGGACTCTTCCTGCCCTGCTCTGCAAAGGAAGCTGGAATTAAGCTCAGCTTGGCTGCAGGACTGGAACCAGCAGAGTCTGCGTGGGACTGGCCAGGGTGGTGCTGCCTCAGAGCTGAGGTTCCCCTCATGGACCCCCTGCTCTGCTCCATCACATGGAGCCCTGTCACCCTCCTGCCACAGGATTTCACTGCTGGAACTTGAAACCAGGTTGTCCTTGGCTGGTGCTCATTTTCTGGGGAAGGGGATCCCCTCCTCTGGCTCAGTCCTGGGGCTGTGCTGGGTGCTGGGAACACCCTGCACCTCCTCCCCTGCAGCTGCCAGAGATGCCCAGAGCGTGTCCTGATCTCCAGGAACACAGTGTAAGCTGTGTCTCGTCAGCCTGACTCCAGTGGGATGGTTCTGATATGGCCAGTACTGAAAAATAATAGAAAAAAATTTAAAAAAAGGAAAAAAAAAAAAAAAGAAGAAAACCCAAGTGGGTCCATGACTTGGTGACTGAACCTGACTGTGCAATGCTAACAGTGTTGTGAGGTGGATTCATAGCCCGGGCACCCTCGGGATGTACGTAAGCTGCTCCTGCTCCTGCTGCTGCCCCTCTCCCAGAGGTGGTGGGAACGTCACTGCTGGCACCCAGGGCCCCTGTTGGTGCCTTCCCCGGGGGGCTGATCTGGGTTCTGCACCTCGGGGCGTCTGGTGCAGGTGGAAATAGTGGAATGATGGAATTGGAGAGAAGCAAAGCTGCGCACTCGGCTCTGGGAAGAGCAGGGTGGGGCTGGCCCTGCCCGGCCGTGGTGGTGCCCTCCCTGCTGCTCTTCCCTGGAAGCATCTGTTCTCTTATTTTGTTACGTGAGTTCTCATCCCAAATCCCACCTTCCTGCCCTCCCCCCACGGGGCAGGTCTGGCAGTGGAAGGAGAGGAGTCAAACTCTGAACTACACCCGAGCAATTTCTGTTCTTAACGGCTTTTCCCGCAGTTTGATGCAATTCTGGCTTTTGTAGATAGATGAATGTAATTCCTTGTTGGACATGCCTGTTCCCAAAGTATGAGCCATCCTGTTGTACCACGTCACCTTCCGAGCGGAGCGGGGCGTCCCCTCCGTGCTATTGATGAATGTATCCGATGCTCTCGTTCCGTGTTCACACTCTGCTTCTGGCCAGCTTTGTGATTTGTAAATAGGAAACAATAAAGACACCCAGGTTGTCTTTACAAGGTTTCTGTGTGATCTGAGGATCTGCTGGAATATCAGAGGGAAGGAAGGTGGAGGGGGGAATCTGTGCTGAGCTGGCTCCCCTGGCCCTTCTCCCCCAGCCCAGGGTGAGGGTCCTCAGCTTCCCCCTCCATGACTTGGGGGATGAGCCAGATCCTTGGGCATCCCAAAGATGAGGGAGCCCAGACCTGGGGCCGAGGCTCTGGTGGATCCTGTGTTTGTCTGGGGGAGGGAGCAGGATGGTGCTGGGTTGGCACTCTCTGGTCTCTTTTATGACTGAATTTCTTTAACCTTAATTGAAGGGTCTTGGCAATTAAATGCACTAAAAGCTGCCTCGGCCTTTGTAGGGGCAGGCCCAGGTCTGGAGGTGAAGGGCTGCTCCCTGCCATGGGATTCCCAGCAGGGAATCCTGCTGGAGCAGGGATGAGGGCTGGGATTGGCACAGCCCCTTCCTGTGTCTCCGGGGCTCTGCCCTTTGCCCGAGGGAGCAGCGGGGCCGCGTTGAACGTGACCCCCCCGGGCTGGGAGCAGCTTCCCACCCTTTCCTGGCTGTGCTGGAGCTCCTCACCCGGGCACGGGAGTGCCGGGAGCAGGGACAGCCCGGCCCAGCCCCTCTGCTCGAGGGCAGTCGGTGCTGTCACACGGTGCTGTGGCCGTGGCTGGGTCGTGCCTGGCTCAGCACAACACCCTGTCCTCCCTCCTCCTCCTCAGCTGAGGGCTCCCCACAGCCCAGCCCCGGGTGTGGTCTCAGCCTGGACCCCCAGTTCTGAACCCTGTCCAGCTGGGAACTGCCCTCCCACACCATCACCTTCCTCACTCGTGGGCGTTACAGGAGCGTCCACAGGGAGCCTGGGCAGGGTCAGGCTGGATTTGCTCCCCTGATCCCACCTCAGCCTTTCCTCCCGCTGCCTCACGGGAAAGAAGAGATGGGGGGATGGATCTTTAGCTCCACAGGGTTCAGCAGCAGGAAAGGCCCACGGGCAGGGGGCCTGGGGCTGCTCCCACCACCCCCGGGACAAGGACCCCACCCCACCCAATCAAGCACGGAATGCAGAAGCGTTGGGTTTTAAAGATTTTTTTTTTATTATTATTTTTTGGTTTTATTAAAAAAAAAAGCCCCTAAATTCTATGGCTTCCAGGAAGCATCAGAGAAATTGAAATGCCGTTTCTGTACACTTGGTTTGTGTTTTTTTTTTTAAAGCAGTAACTAAACTCGCAATGGAACAAACGCTCTCACGTACAATCGCAGTATTTGGACTCCTCGCTGGAAGGACAGAGAGTCCCGGGCTCGGGCCGGGGACGCAGCCGGGCACACCGGGAATACCGGGAACACGGAGCCGGGAACACCCCGATGGCCGCGCCCCTTCCCCTCCGCGGCTCCTCTTCGGACTCCGCCGGGGCTGCTCCGAGCCGACGTGCTGAGAAGGGGCCACTTCCAGTGAAAATTTAAGGCGATTTTTTTAAGATTTGTTTGTTTGTTCGCCTCGCTGGGGACACGAGGTCAAACGTTGCACGTCCCCTCCCCGCCGTGGCCAGAGACACATCAGCAGCTGGGGCCGCCCTGCCCGGAGGAGCCAAAGCCGGGCTTTGACATCCCGAATTCAGGACCAAGAGGGGCCCCGGCGCAGTTCCCTCCCCAGGGCCCCCACGGCCCGTGGGAGACCCCCGTGCCCCCCCAGTCCCCCGAGATGGTCAGTTTGGACAAATGTTTCGAAGCAGCCACAGATGGTCCCATCCCCCCCGCCCCCCCCCGCACAGCCTCAGCCCCCCTCGGGGCAGAACAACAGGATTTTGGTAAAGATAAGTGTGTGTCCCCCCCAAAATGTGTCACAATCAATACACACGACAGCGCACGGGGTCAGTCACGTGGGGAGCTGCGGTGCCCCGGGGGTGGTGAGGAGCAAGGGGGGTGTGTGTGGGGGTGTGGGGGTGTGTGTGTGTGTCAGTTCCAAAAACTCCAGTTCCTCCCCCCAGGGGCAGGCTGGGCCCTGGCACCGGTGCAGGATTCCATGGAGGGAGGATGCCATGGCAGGAGGCTGCCATGGTGAGGGAATTCCACGCTGGCAGAGCTGGGACACCCCGCTGCCCTTCACTGCCCGGCGCTCACCACGTGCCTCCAGCCCCGACCGCGGGGCCTCGGGGGGCTCAGACTAAAAACCAAGGCTGCCCCTGCCCACCCCTCCGACATCCAGCCCCGAGACACGGCAGCGCCACACGCGAGGCTGCTCTGCTTCCCCTCCCTGCTCTGCCACCGCCATTCGTGGGTCCCTTTGGTCTCGGCCGTCCCTGTCCCTGTGTCCCCCCAGCCCCCGGGAGTCTCCGACCCGCTCCCGGCGGGCCCGGACGGCGCCTGTATTGCTCACAAAAGTGCATCGTAAATGAACTGTAAACGCGTTTCCTCTCCCCGCCCCGCGCGGCCCCGGCTCCCCCTCGCCGGGCGGAGCCCGAACCGCTGTCACCGACGGCCTGACCGAGGGGGGACCCGGCGGGGGGCGCGGGGCGGGGGCCCGAGGGAAGAGCAGAATTCGGTAACACTGAAGATGACGGTCAAAGACTGACGACTCAGCACTCTGCACCGAGACTCACTTTAAATTAACTTAAGAGACAAAGAAGCAACAGAAAAAAAAAATTCCTCCTTAGCCCACTGCTCTCGAAATTGTCTTCGTCTTCTTCTGACAGCGACGGGTCAGAGTCTGTAGTTGATCCCCATTTCAGACTAGTTATAGACTCAAAGCAAGTGACGCCGTGGATTTGTTTCGGTTTCCTTTTTTTCCTTCCTTTTTTTTTTTTCTGTTTGACGGACGCAGGAACTTCAGCGAAGTTGGGCTTGGTTCGAGTAAACGGCCACGCGCCGGGCGGGTGGCGGAGGAAAGGACAAGCAGTTTGGGGAGGCCCCGCTCCCCAGCTGCGCGTGGGGCGCTGGGGGAGCCCGTCCGGCCCGGCCCCCCCGTCCCCGTCCAGCCCGAGGGGCCGCCGGCTCCGCGGGTCAACATCCAGCCACGGCCAGAGGGAGAGGAGCCGTCCCGGCTCCGCCCGGCCCCGGCTCACTTGCGACGCTTGGTGGTTTTCCTCTTCCTTCTCTTGAAGAAACAGCAGCACCTGGGGACAGAGGGACCTGTCAGAGCCTGGGCACCTGGGACAGAGGGCGCGGCACCCCCGTGGTCAGGGGGCACAGAGACCCCTCGGTGTCTTGGAGAGACCCCCACGTGGGCAGAGCTGCTCCGGGAAGTGCCCTTGGTACATGGCAGGGGCTGGACTGGGGACACCACGATGGCCACGGCAAGTGACACCTTTCACAGCAGGTGGCACCAACCAGGGGAATGACACTGGCCACGGCATCCTGTGCCAGCCACGTGGCCAGAGCCGGGGCTCCAGAGAAGGAGCAGCCCAGATCCGGGCACCCCCTCAGTGCAGGAGCGAGGTGGGAAGGGCCGGGTGGGGTGGCCCTGCAGGGACACCCCTCGGGGGTGCCGGGGCACAGCTGGGCTGTTCCTCCCCGGAGGGCACAGGGCACCGCGGTGCCGAACCCACCCCCGGCGTGGCCCCGGGGAGGGGCAGCGGGGCCGGGCCTTACTTTGTATCGTCTGTCACCTCCACCTCGGTGGGGGCTGTGATGGGGGCGTTCGAGTGTCCTGCCGTCGGATCGTCTGTGTTCAGCTCTCCGTTAGTGGAGCTCATCACCTGGGGACAGACGAGTGTCAGCGGGGGCAGCCCGGGGTTCGCAGCCCCGTCCCCTCCCCGCGGCGGGGGGGGCAGCCCAGGAGACCCCCGGGCTCTCCCCGGGAGCACCGAGGTCCCTGCAGGCACAGGATGGTGCCTGGCCCAGACCACAGCGCTCAGTCTCGGTGCTGAGCCCTCCCCACAGCACCAACACGGAGAGGTCTGACCCCAGCACCTCCGGGAGGATCCCGGCTCCAGGGAACCCCCGCATATCCCACCGGGAGGGGGGCTCGCCGGCAGCTCCGGCGTGTGCAGGAGACACAGCCCGGGGAAGCCGTGAGCTCCCAGGAGACCTTCCCACGGCTGAGCAACCGGACACGGCTCCTGCTCCCCGGCCCCGAGAGCCGGCACCGCCGGGTCTGCAGGACCCAGCCCAGTGCCCACCCCGAGGGGTCCCTGAGCTCCTGCCCACTCGCCAGGGCAGCAGGGTCGGGCGAGTGCCAGGCTCGGGGGGACATCCGAGCCACCAAAGCAAGGACAGGGCCGGCACAGGCAACTGGGAGGTGCCTGAACTCCCTTCCTGCGCCCGCTGCCCGCAGGCAAAGGCAGGAGCTCCCTGGGGATGCACAGGGAGGCTCCCCAAGCTGCTCGGCCCCGCTGAGGGTCTCGGCCTCTCCCAAAGCCACGGAGGAGCTGCCACCCGACAGCCAATGCCCAGCCAGCAGGGCCACGTCAGGATACAGCCCCCCAAAAACAGCGCGGAGACCCCCGAGCGTGTCCCCTTCCCCGCAGCGCCGGGCGCAGGCGGAGCTCGGCAGGAGGGTTTGCGGGGCGGGAGGGGGAGCAGCAGAGGAGAGGGACGGGAGGGACAGGAGGAGCCGAGCAGAGCTCGAGGGGGGCAGGTCCCTCGGCTCCCCCCGGACTGCCCGGCCCCGCGACGGCAGGAGGGCCCCAGCCGGACCGAGCACCAGCATCACCGCGGAGCAGCGGGAACGAGCAACAGCGGCGGGGACGGAAGCAGAGACGGAGGGAGCAGCGCAGGCCTGGCCAGGGGACTCGGCACATGGATGCCCCACCATCCATGCGGGAATGGACCCCCAGGCCCGGGGGGCAGAGCGGCAGCGGGCGGGAGGCTGCGAGGGCGGAGAGCACGGGGCTGACGGCGCGAGTGCGGGGCGGAGGCGGGGACGCGCGGCCAGGGAGCGGCCGGGAAGGGAGGAGAAGCAGGGTCGGAGCCAGCGCTCCACTCAGGGAGGTGCCCTGCTCGTCGGGCACTGCTGGGACGAGCGGCACTGAGGGCAGAGCGATGCCCCCCCAGCTGTGTGGCACAGAGCCAGCACTCCATCCATCCGTCCATCCATCCATCTCCAAATGCCCTCCGAGTCCCCTCCTCAACACCAAGCGACCCTTGCAGCCCCCAACCACCGCCACCCTCGTCTCCTAGCTGTTACCCTCACGTCACACACTGGGGACAGGCAGCACGTGCTGCGGCCGAGGCAGGAGCCCGGGATGAGGCAGGAGCCCGGGATGAGGCAGGAGCCCGGGATGAGGCAGGAGCCCGCGTGGCCCCGGGGCGGGGGAGCGGGGCTGATCCCGGGTGGCTCCGCTCCCTCTCGCGCCCGCCCCTGCCCTCGGCGCGTGGTTTATGTACCTGGACGGACCCCCCGAGCCTGCCGGCTGCCAGGTGAGCTCCCACAGGCTCCTCGGCAGGCTGCCCACCGGCCTGAGGATCCCACAACTCCGTCCCCTCGGGCGGCTGCTCGCGACAGGCAGGAGGAACAGAATGAAAAGAAAACAAAAGAAAAAGAGGAAGAATGGGGAAGAGAAGGGAGGAGTGGAGGGGAAGGAGCGGGAAAAGTGGCAAAAAGGGAGTCGAGAAAATAAGACATGCAAAAGCAAAACCATGACTGGGGCAGCTCGGGTTTGTGGTTGCGGAGGGCGCCCAGTGCAGCACCGACCCGGCGGCTCCAAGAGGTCCCTGCGGTGACACTGGGGGCTGTGTCCCCCTGCCACCCCTCACAGCCACCCCAGACAGGGCAGAGCAGGGCCAGCCCCGTGTCTGGGAGCGGGCTGGGGTGGCAGAGCCGGGCCCAGGTGGTGCCACAGCCACTCTCCATGTCCTCAGGACGACGCGGAGCTTGGTGGGGCCGGTGTGGAGCAAAGGGTGCTGCTCCTCCAGGGCAGGGGATGCTCGGCTGTTCCCACAGCCAAACCCTCTCCTGGTGAGCAGGGCACAGCCCCAAGGCTGTGGGGACACCCTGTGTCCCCAGGCTGGACACTGCTCCCATGTTCCAGGAGTTCTGTGCTTTGCTCTTCCCAGCGCTCTGGAGAAGGGATGCCGAACGTGGTGCTAGAGGAGAGCAGACCTTACTGGGAGTTCCCACGAATGAGCCAGAGGTGATTTGAAGATGTTTCCCTCTCCCCAAGGAAGCGATTCCCAGCCCCTGGCCAGTGAGAGCCAGGGCTGTACCAGGCTCTGGGAGCAGCCAGGATGCTCCAGGGGCACTGCTGGGCTGGGGTGTGGGTGAGGAGCACAGGGAGCTGCACCCTTGGCTCCAGGGCCTTGGCAGGACCTCTGCTCCTCATGGAGGTTCAAAAGGATCAGGGTCTGGGAAACATGAGGTTTGCTCTGGCTGCCAGCATTCCCAGAGTTGTGTCCTGCACTGGGGCAGGACAGGCCATGGCACTGGCCTCAGAGAAGGGCTGGGCAGTGCAGCCCCTTCCCCACAGTGACCCTGGCAGGGAGCTGCCGGCACAGCTCTGCCCAATCCCTGCCCTGGGCTGCTCCCAGCTTCAGCTCCCTGTGCCCTGGGCACGGGCAGCCCCAGCACGGGGCAAAACGCTGCCAGGCTGCCCCACCAATCCTGCCCTCCCTTGTCCTTGTCACCATCCCATCAATGGAATTGGCACCACAAGCAGAGCAGCGAGTTACCCCCATGGGGACACGGCGCTGGGGACACAGGTCCTCAGCCTGAACCATTCCCTCACCCATTACCCGGGGCTGACCCTGCAGCTCAGTGGTTGATGCCCAGGCCTGGCACCCCCTGGCCCTGCCACAGCCCCCACGGTGCTTCCTCCTGCTTCTGCCAGGGACACTGCCCTGGGCCCCTGAGAGCCACAGACCCCGTGCTGTGCTGGGGAGCTCTCCACAGACAGCACTGGGGAAAAAGGAACGTCCAGTCCCTGCTCCAGCCCGGGCTCCTCCGTGCCCGTGGAGCCGCAGCCCAGGCTGCCCGAGCCCGTGGTCGCTGTGCCCCGGCCGTGCCCCAGCTCACCTGGTGTTTGGGGTGTGGCTGTGCTTTGTCTCTGTTCGGGGGCTGCACCTGCACCTCGCTGTGCATCGTGCCAATGGGCGTGGGCTGGGGACACAGGGACAACGTCAGTGCCAGCACGGAGCCCTCCCGCTGCCCTGCACCCTGATCCCACCTCTGCCCACACACACAACCGCCCCCCAGAACCAGGGCCTGAACCCAGTCCCCACCCCTGCCCCAATGGCTCCTCGTGTGCTATCTGGTTGCAGAGAGCCCATGGAGGGTGCCCATGGCAGAAAGTGAGGTGCCAGCCTGGCTGCTGGGGTCCCCTTGGCTCCAGGAGCCTCCCATCCCTGTGTCACAGCTCTGACCCATCGACACAACAGCCCCAGCCTGGAGCTGGTGAGTGGTGAGGATGGATGGAGCCAATCCCTCGGGCACAGGGGACAGCTGGGACCTGCATCCTCCCTGGCTGCTTGCTCTGACCCCCGGGGTGCCCTCTGTCCTGCTCAGCCCCTCCCCACTCACCAGAGGCTTCCCTGCCCAGTCGTATTCGTAGTCGAACACGTAACCGTTCCTCTCGAACAGGTCTGTGAAGAGCTTCCTCAGGTAGTCGTAGTCGGGCTTCTCGAAGAAATCCAGCCGCCGCACGTAGCGCAGGTACGTGGCCATCTCCTCTGCGGGGACAGGGGGTCAGGGGCTGGGCACAGGGCTGGGGACAGGGCCAGGCAGGGCAGGGCTCTCACCTGGGAAGTTCTCACAGAGCACCTCCACCGGGGTGGCTCGTTTGGTGTCGCCGATCTTCTGGTACCTCTCCTTCAGCGTGTCGGCCTGGCGGGACAGGGAGGGTCAGTGCCAGGGAGGGGAGGCACGGGGGCACCAGACCACAGATGGTTTCTGGGTCACCCTTTCCCAGGTAACAGGAGGAGCTCATTCCCAGGGAATTCCCTCACCAGGGCAGATCTGGAGGACAACCACCAGGGAGTGCAGTTCCAGAAGAGCCACTGTGAGAGCAGCTGGGACCCCCCCAAAGTGGGGGGACACCCAGACCCTACAGCTGCTCAGCACAGCAAGGGCCTGGCACGGAGCTCAGATCTGGTGGGGTGCCAACCCTCCAACCCCCCGAGGGCCAAAGCTTCCCCCCCCCGTGCCAGGGCAGGGCCAGACCCACGGGCATGCTGGCCAGACCCAAGGAGTTGGCACTTACCTTGAGGCCTTGCCAAGGAAGGCTCCCACGGAGGAAGTACATAAACATGTGCCCTAATGCTTCCAGGTCATCCCTGCGGCTTTGTTCTGCATGGAGAAAGAGAGACATGGGCATGTTCCCACTCCAGACACTGTCCATGTCCCTCCCAGACCCTGCAGCACCCCAAAAGTCCTGCCAAAACCCTGAAGAGCCGGAGAGGCAGTTTGTGCCCAGCCCCACCTCTGACAGGGCCGATCTCATTCCCTGCATTCCCTCCCCCTCTGCCAGAGGAAAGGCTGCCTGGTGCCCAACACACCTTTCCCGAGGTGGGTGTTGATGCTCATGTAACGTGCTGTCCCTGTCAGGCTCTTGTGCTCTCGGTAGGGGATGTGTTTTTTGGTCTCGGGGTCAATGTACTCTTTGGCCAGGCCAAAATCGATGATGTGGATGGTGTGCTGCCGCTTGCTGCCCGGCCGCCCCACCAGGAAGTTCTCCGGCTTCACATCTCTGTAGATCAGGCTTTTGGTGTGGACATACTCCATCCGTGTGATCTGGGGCACAGGGAGGTGTCAGTGTCAGGGGACAGACACCCCCTGTGTCCTGCACACACCCCTGCACCCCTCCCCTGCCCCCTGCTCTGGTCACCTTGCCCCAGCCAGCTGCCCTGCTCCCCCCCGGCCTGACCATCCCCACAGAATGCAAGGAGGGGAACATCGGGTCTTCCCACCCTGGGAGACAACCCCAGCCCAGCTGTACCTTGGACACACAGGGAGATGTTCAGAAGGGGCTGTGCTGGGCTGAGGAGAGCCCTCCTTTGCCAGGGAGGGGGCGAGGAATGGGAGGAGTGGTCTGGGATGTGCCTCCTGCGACCTGCTGGGCACTGGCTCACCCCTCCTCCCTCCAGCTCCCTGTGGGGTGTCCCCCATGCCCACCCACCCCTGTCCCCCCAGGCAGCCAGGAGTGCCCCAGGGAGGAGCAGGAGGAGCCCCAGGGAGGAGCAGGAGGAGCTGCTCACCAGCTGGATCGCGATCATCAGGACAGTCTTGAGCGTGAAGGTGCGATCACACAGATCAAAGAGATCTTCCAGGCTGGGGCCCAGCAGCTCCAACACCATGGCGTTGTACTTCCCACAGGGGCCAAAGTAGTAAACCTGAGGAATTCCTTCTGCAAGACATGGAGCAGGGGCTGTGTGGGGCTGCAACAGGGCCCTGCTGTGCCGGGCAGGGACGGGGGCTGCAGAGGGGGGACGGCCCCACACTGCCCTCCCTCCTGCTGCAGACAGCCTGGCTCTGCCCCTGGAGGCAGCTCCATCTGCATCCCTGACTCTGCTGTGGGGGCGGGGGGGGAGCACTAAATCAAAAGAGATCAAAGATTAGACTCTGTGTAAAACCAGCCCCTCCCCACCGAGCAGATGGGCAGGAGCTGCTCAGGCCGGGAGCGAAGTTGCAGAGTCACATTTAGGGGAAGCCCCTCTCCCAGCAGGGTCCCTGACAGGCAGGACCCCACAGCCCAGCCCCATACCTGCATTGCCGAGCTGTTTGTAGAACCGATACTCCAGGTGCAGCTGGGGGGCCCGGGACTTTATGGGTTCCTTGGAGGAGAGAAGGAGAACAGTTAATTAGGGGGCAGGGTGTTTAGGGGGTCTGGCTGTCAGACATCTCCTTCACATGCTGGCAGCAGCTGGACTGAGCATTTGGGGTTGAGAACAACCAGTACAAAACAGAGATGAAGCCACAGGGGATGATGAGAGAAAATCAGCCCATATGGGAGCCAGATCCACCCAGGCCAGGGAGATCTGGATCCTGGGGTAGCCATGAATGGGAGCAGGTACCAGTGGGACCACTCCTCCCTGAGGTCCCTCTGCTGCTGCCACTGGCTGAGCACAGCACAGGCCATGGGCAGGGCTGGGAGAGGAGAAGCCTCAGCTCCTCCCTCCCCAGCCCCAGATCACCCCACCTGCAATGACGTGTGTTCCCAGCCTGCCCTGGATTCCGAGTGGTGAGCGGAGCTCCCCCGCAGCCTCCCAGCCACCACATCCCAACCTGCTCCTGCTCCCATCCACCACACTCCAACCCCCTCTCTCCACCTTCCCCAACTCCTGGGGAGGGGCAGCAACCTCCTTCCCCGTGGCCTGAACACCCCCCTCGACAGCCACTCACCAATTTGATCGCTACGTATTCGTTGGTGTAGAGGTTCTTTCCTGCAGGGAGACACAGGAGAAGGCAATGGAAAGCAGTCCCTGCACCACCCCCACCACAGCCCCCGAGGCATCACGGGCTCAAAAACATCCTGAACAGGTTCAGCAGCTCCCACAACACCTGCACAGGCCTCGAGGCACGAGTGGGAGCAGAACCCACTGTGGGGAGTTGCAACACGCCTGGTTATCACCCCCGGGTGGGGTATGTGGATTCCTCTGGGATGGGCAGGATGCTGGGGGCCGGACCCAAGGATGCTGGGAGGGGGCAGCATCCCAGTCTGGGCCTGCAGGGATGTGACTGGGCGAGGCAGGAACAAGGCTGGGACTTGGTGCTTCTCCCCTCATGGAGAGGGGCTCCGGGAGGGGTGGCCAGAGCCAGGGGACACTGGGCTGTGGGTGGCCAGGAGGAAGGACCCCCAGGAGCATCTGGCAGTAGTCTGAGGGCACTGCAGGCAGCTGGAAATCTCCTTCCCAGGGCTGGAGTCGCTCCTGGGGATGGCACACACGTGTGTGCATGTGTGTGTGTGCACACACGTGTGTGGATCAACCTCATCCCTGGGGATGCTCCCACCTGCCCGAGGGTGCAGGGGAAGTAGCAGCAGATCCATGGTGTGACCCAGACTGTAGGAGGAGCTGCAAGGAGGGTCAGGAGCCTGGCTCTGAGTGCCCAGGGGAGCTGAAGGGACAGCATCCTGTATGTGACCCCTTGGAGAGCTCCACCCTGCACCTTTTCACACCCGTAGCCTCAGAAAGGTTGAGCTCATGGTGTCTGCACATCCCCCAGGGGTGCCTGAGAAAGGGTCACACCTGGGCAGGGTCAGTACAACCTCTGCCCAGGCCCAAAAAGGCAAAGATGAGAGGTTTGCAGGAGCAGATCCGAGTGTTTCCTCCCGGGGAGGTGGGAGTTAACGGCAGCAAGTTCCCTTCAGAGCCAGCAGACACGCGATCCCTGTATCTGATGGAGCTGCATCTGTCTCCTCGGATTTTCTCCAAGCAATTTGCTTAGGGAACAAGCTCCTCCTGGCGTAAGATTTCATCTGCTCTGACTGCTGCTCTCCACCTGAAGCAGCAATAAATCCTCGCCGGGTGACATCAGAGCCAGCTGCTGAGCGCCAGTCGGCGGCAGGATTACGGGAAGAGGGATGAATGGGAGATATTAATGGAGTGGCTCCTCCCAGGGATGGGCTCTGCAGCCAAGGAGGGGCTCAGTCCTGCTGCCTCCCTGACCCTCTCCCATCCCAGGGGACCTCTGCCAAGCCACTTTGTCTCCTGCCTCTGCATAACCAAATCCCTTCAGAGTGGTGAGGGAGTGGGTGATTCGGGAGGGAGGAACATCTGGCGGGCACAGCCTGTGTCAGATCCAGGGGGTTTGGCCCATCATGGACTGGCATTTCCTGGGGAGGAGGTAGGACATCTCCCAGGCCTGTGAATGGCTCCAGAGAGCCCACAGAGCCCTGCAGTCCAACAGAATGACTGCTGCCTTCAGGGCAGAACGTGCAACAAGAAAACTCACAGCTGGATTTTCCCTGAGGAAAGGCTGGGTCTGAAGGGGGAAAAATTACGGAGGGGAAAAAAATGTCAGGACACCTGCAAAAGAGCTCAGCACAGCAGGGTGGGAGAAAGGATGGAGGCAGGAGCATCCCCAGCAGGGCTGGGACTGGAGAGCTCCACCCTGTCCCTGTCAGGTGTCATCTGTCCTGTCCCCACCACACTGTCCCCTCCTCCGTGGCTCACTGGCACAGAAAGCCACCCACAAAACTGCTCTGGGAGCTGGCAGTATTCTCCCAGCCCCAAAACTGAGCCCAAATCATCTTATACCCCCTTGGTTCATCCTTTCCTGTAATGCTCAGGAGGCCTGGACACAGCTGATGGACAAGCTGGGGAGCAGCGAGGGCACAGACTGTCAAACCACCCCCTCTGCTCCCCCTTCCCCAGCTAAAGGAAGGCACAGAGAGCACAACCAGCCTGTCGTAAGAATTAAAAAACCAGGAAAAGAAAAAGCAAGAGAGCAAGAAGGCAGGAATGCAGGGTCCTTCCACGCCAGGGAACTCCCCACTCCAGCTCCTGGAGCACCTCCCACACTGCTCAGTGCTCACAATGGGGTCACTTTAACACCCAAAATGTGGAGCCCTCGGGAGCACCTGGGAGGCCTCAGTCAGGCAGAGCTGCAGGACTGACAGCACAAAAGGTGCTTCTGAAAGGAAACAGAAGAGAAAAGCATTGAGATGGGCGGCAGAAGGCAAATATTTGCATTGCAGAGGCCTTCGCCCTGCTCAGGGCTGGAGGTGCCTCCAAATCCAGCTGCCAGCAGCTGCAGGACCGGGCGTGTGGAGCAGAGCAGAGCCAACGCCAGCAGAGCCCGGCCTGGGCCTGTGCTGTGCTTCAACACCAGAGGTGGCTTTGCTGTCCCCTCCAAAGGGATTTGGCAGCACTGGGCTCCAGCACCTGTTCCTGCACATCAGGGCAGCCCCAGCAGGAGCTGAGCTCTGCACTGCTCCCAGCCAGGCCCCATCCAGGCGGCCTGGAGTCATGGAATTGTGGAATCATCAGGAAGGGAAAAGCCCTCTAAGGTCATCAAGTCCAACTCTCAGCACCACCACCACTAACCCGTGTCCTCAAGTGCCACATCCACGCTTTCTGAACAATTCTAGAGATGGTGACTCCACCGCTGCCCTGGGCAGTTCCAACATCTCACAACCCTTCCAGAGAAGAAATATTCCCTAATCTCCAACCTAAACCTCTCCTGGCACAGCTTGAGGCCGTTCCCTCTCCTCCTGTCCCTTGTTCCCTGGCAGCAGAGCCCGACCCTCCCCAGCTCCCCCCTCCTGTCAGGGGGTTGCAGAGCCAGAAGGTCCCCCCTGAGCCTCCTTTTCTCCAGGCTGAGCCCCCCCAGCTCCCTCAGCTGCTCCTGCTGCTCCAGCCCCTTCCCAGCTCCGTTCCCTTCCCTGGACACGCTCCAGCCCCTCCATGTCCTTCCTGTCACGAGGGGAGCAGTGAGCAGCAGTGAGTGCTCTGCCTGGCACTGCCCCTCAATCGTGTCACCACAGTGCCCTTGCTGGGACCCTTCGTGCCACGGCCCTGCAGCAGCAGCAGCAGCAGCAGCAGCACAGAGCTGTGCTGGGCACAGCTGGGCACTGGGACAGGAATTTGGCTTCCCCAGTGCCAGGGGATGTGGAAGAGGAGCACTGGATAAGGCAGCCAGGCCCAGCCCAGCCCTGCCAGAGCTGCCTCAGGCCGAGCAGTGACAGCTCCTTGGAGCACCAGGGGTTTAACACCATCAGAAATAAACCCAGACCTATTTCAGAGCTTGACCTTCCTCTAGAGGAGGCTCTGAATGACCAAGAGGAAAACCAAGTGTGAGCCACCAGCAAGGGAGGCAGGAGCAGCAGGCAGGGAGTGCCTGGGCCCCCTCCAAAGACACCCGTGACCCACCCCCAGTGTGTGCTGGGCCTGCAGCTCCCACCTCTGGGAGGCTGAGCCCTCGGAGGGAGTTTGGAGGGAGGGCTCTGCAGGGCCCAGGACAGCAGGGTGTCACAGGCAGGGCACTGACCCAGTCGTGTTTTTAGAAGGTACCTTTTGTGGCCCCCAAATAATCCCCTGTGAGCAGCTGGGATGCTGCAGGACAGACCTGAGAGCCAGAGCTCAGGAGAGCTGGGAATGTCCCCAGACTCATAAGCAGTGACCTGCCCCTGGCTCACACTCCACACACAGACCCAACCCCCATGTTCTTTCCTCCAAAATCCTGGGTTTACTTAAAAAAATATATTAATTTCCAGCCTTTAACTTCAAAGGAAAACAGCTGCTGTGGTTCCAAGCTGCCAGTAGAACTGCAAGCAGTGGGCTGGGGGAGAGGGGTGGGACCAGAAAATCTGCAAAAAGCACATTTGCCAGAGTTTACTGCAGTAAGAACAGAAGCAGCAGCTGCTGCCAGGTCCCCATCCAGGCTGAGGCTGCCCCGGGGTAGCTCCATGGCACAGCCTGGCCGGAGCACTGGCCTTGGGCCAGGCTCAGGAGGGGCTCAGCAGGGAGCCCCCTGCCCAGCCCAGGCAGGACTAACAGCAGGACTGATGACAGCTCTGAGCCAGCTCAGCAGCAGGCAGAGCACCCAGATGCTCTGGGCTCATTTTTGACCTTTCTGGTTAATGCCTGAGTTTTCCTCCTCTCCACTTACCCCAACCCAGCACAAAGCCCCCCTGAGCAGCTGCTCCAACAAACCCTTGCTGGGAGCAGCACGTGCCTGGCCTGGGCACAGGAGCTGGCAGGGGCCAAGGGCTGCAGGACCCAGTGCCAGGGCACACGAGCCACCAGCCACGCTCCTGTCTCCCTGCTGTCACCAGCTTCCTGCTGCCCTGTGTTTCAGAGGGCAGCACCCCACCCCAGTACAGGGGTGGGCTGGCTGTGGGCACAGGGGAGCTCAGAGGGCTGCAGGCAGTGGGCACTGCCCAGGGGTGGGATTGGAAAGGCCCAGGAGGAGCTGGGCTGGCACTGGACCACAGCTGGAGGTTGACAGGGCACTCAGCAGCTTGGGGTGAAGCATAAGGACATCAGCAGGGAACAGGACCCAGCAGCTGCACGACCTAAACCTGCCCCCCTGTCCCAGAGGGCTGGGGCAGCACCCCCACTGCAGCCCCCAGCCCAGCTCTCCAGCCGTGTTGCTCCAGTGAGGAACTGGCCAGCAGTGCAGCTGGACTGGGACAGGGACTGGCACCACGTCTGTGCCTTGCCCAGGCTGCCAAGGCCAGCAGGAACGTGGAGAGGCAGGATCCACAGCACAGCCCTGGCAGCCACAACTCTCACACACGTCATTCCCCTTCTGGCTCCCCACAAATGCCTTATGCCACTTTTTTGTTTTTTAATATTTAATCTTTAAACAAATCACTTTTGATTTTGGACACCTCTGTGCCCGGGAGGACACCTGACTCGACCAGGGGCAGCTGAGCTGAGGCACCATAAGGACAGATGCCTCTCAGGGTGGTGGTGAAGTTGGGCAAAGTGGTACCTGTTTTAGGAAGACAACATCCCCTTCCTCCACCCCCACTGCTGGGAGCTGCAGGAGTCATCTCCATGCATGTTTTTGCAAGATCTCCTGGCTTTTGGTAAGGAAGGAAAAAGCCCAGAGAAGATCTGGGACCTTTTCAAGACTGAGCTCCAGTTTGGCCCCTACACCCAGCCTGCCCTGAGGACCGAATCCTCCATTCCCAGGGGAGAACTGAGTGCCCAGTAACAGCATCCCTGCTCATGCCACCACTTCACAGCAGGATCCCTCTGGTCCCTCACCACTCATCTGCAGCTGGAGGAATCCCTACTCCCTGTGAAGCCCTGGGAGCATTCCCGAGCCCTGCTGCAGGAGGAGGCACACCTACGGAAGGGAGATGTGATTTTAGGAGAAAGGCCACATAGCTGTGGCTTCCCCTGCCGTGATGAGATCCTGTGCTCAGGCTGTACCACGTTATGGCCAGGCCCTGCAGGGTGTGCCAGGGCAGGGAGACCACGTGAAGGGACTGGAAGCTTCTCTTGCTGGTGGCAAGGACAAACCCTCGCTGTGAGATCGACCGCTGCAGTGCCTGGGGGAAGAGCTCCCTGCTCGTCCCTCCAGCCAGGAGCAAGCCCAGCCCAACTGCTCCCAGGGCCCTGCAGTGGCTCTGCTCAGAGCAGCACAACTGCCAGTTCCACAGACATCCCTCAGATCTCTGTGGGACTCATGTCCCCTCGGTGAGAATGAGGGAGGCCAAGGTGGGGGTCACAAAGCAACAGTCACAGCTCCAGACTCCTGCCCAGAGCAGGATCTTGGAAGAGAGCTCAGATCCACACATCCACTGTGGGATGCTCGCTGGCAAGCAGGGAAGAGGAGGTGGAAGGACACAAGTAGACCCTGCAGGGTTCAGAGCCCTCGATCCCCCCCTTCCCTGCCAGCCATGCAGGGAGGCACCAGCAGCGGGAGTGTCCAGACCCACTCGGGAACTGAAGGGAGCAGTGAAATTCCCAAACACCTCTCCTTCCACAGGCCTTCCACGAGGTCTGGAGGAAGGCTCAGAGCTCCTCACAACACCACGAGAGACAGACACTGCTGTGTGGAACATGGAACTGCCTGGTTGGATTTTAAAGAAGGCATTTTCCCCAGCTCTGCAATTACGGGTGATCCCATTGGGAAGTTCGGGCACAGGAGGGGTCAGCCTGGCACCAGCCAGTCTGTCACACTGGGGAGAGCTGCCATGAACTCCCCCCGGGCAGCACAGCGAGGGGGGACTCGCCCCAGCCCAGCCAGGGCTCCTCCTGCACGCCCAGAGCCCGCCTGGGGAGCACAGGCAGGGCAGGTTTAGCTCAGAGCTCAGCTTGGCAAGGCCCTGCTTAAACTACCACGGAGCACAAGGCCTGTGGCTGTCGCAGGCTCCCAGGGACCGGCCCTCTTCCCTCCTCCCAGGGCACAAGCCCCTTCCCAAAGCGCTCACAGCCAAGGACAAGGCTCTGGCTGGCAGGGACTCCATCCACACATCCAGTGTGCACTCCTGGAGACACCCAGGCTGTGCTGAGCAGCGGTGCCTGGCACTGCCAGGCCTCTCCCAGCTGCCTGATGCCAAGTGAAGGGTTAACAGCTCGCTGAAGGCCTCCTGGGACATTCCCAGTCGTGGGAGAGGAGCAACCTCCCCACCCTCCGAGCTGGTGTTTGCTTGGGGAGTTTCCTGATAAACTTGGTTCAAAATGGAAATGACCACAGAAGGTGCTTGGGTTTCATTCCTCCCTTCCTCTTCCCTGTGTAGAATTTTAGGAGAGTCTCCCACCCAGTTGCAACAACTGGAGAATTCACCCAGGATAAAACACTGACCCTCTTCCCCAAGGTTTGTCCCAGTACAGGGAACACCCTCAGACCCCCACATCCCCTCTCCTGGGCACAGTGGGAGGGCACCACCCTGGGCACAAGCAGGGTGAGATTTGGTGAGCACACAGTAGTATTCCCCGAAACATTCCTCGTGGAGTGCTCCTGGATTTGGGGGGACACCCAGACCTGTGTGGGCCACCACCACTTCCCACAGCCAGGGCTGAACCATAACACTCTCCCTGACAAACCCAGAGGGCGACGGGCACGGG